AGTTGAAGTTCACACAGCTTAAAGCTGCCAAGGTTGAGAAACACTGAGATAGCCAATATGTTCAAGTCTTAAAAAAAAAAATCTCTCCCCCAATCAGTTTGACCAGAGACTCTACCTGGTTTTCATTTTCTGAAGCATTGGTGTTGCTGTTATGGAAGCAATTTGCAGCCTTTGGGCTTTGAAAGCTCCCTCTTCCTGCTGCCCTGGAGAGGAAGAGAGACGTGGCATCAACTGGGATTTGAAAGGGCCATCCATGGAACATGATCCGCCCCTTGACTATCTCCTGTTCTTTTATAGAGGATTTCTCCACGGGTTCCAACTCAGAAACGTACGAGGATTGGGCTGATCGCATATACAGAGAATACAGGCATAAACGTAGGCAAGAAGAGGAACAGCATCGCGGGAGACCTAGAAGGGAAGCTGAGAAGTCTTCAGTTCCACTCCAGCACTTCCTGGAGCAGGACCATCTGCAATACCTGAGGCGTGTCCGAGCCAAGGAGAAAGAGGTTCAGGCCGCCAAGAAGAGACGTTACGAGGAAGGCTGCAGCCAGGTCTTCTCCTCAGATAGCTCGCGTCTGCTGTGTTACGAGGACATTCCCTGGCCGAGCCCAGCTGGGACTCCTGAGGAAATGGCCGCAGCAGCCCTTCATGGTGTAGAGCCATCAGACAGACCAGCTTATCGGCGCTTCCTCCGGCGTCAGCAGGTGCTGTGGCATCCGGACAAGTTTGTGCAGCGCTGCGGCACACGCTTGGCTGAACAGGATCGCCGTCGGATCTTGGACGCTGTCACAGCATTGTCCCAAGCTTTCAATCGATTGGCTGAAGCTGCCAAATAGATCTTGCTGCTTGTCTGCATCGGTGTTTCTCAACCTCAGCAGATTTGAGATGTGTGGACTTCAACTCCCAGAATTCCCCAGCCAGCATGGCTGGCTGGGGAATTCTGGGAGTTGAAGTTCACACAAAGATGCTGAGGTTGAGAAACACTGGTGTGTATGAATGAAATGTGTTAGGATAACTGAACACAGACAGGATGTCCTGTTTTCTTGCACTGTGGACAAAAGAAACCATAAAACTTTACTTTTGAATGTCTTTGGTTGATCCAGGCAAACTGAATAACTTCAATAGACTTTTTAAGAAAAGATTCTTTGTTGAGGCCACTACTGGTGTTGCATTTTCTTTAAAATAATTTTATCAATCCGTTCTAGAAATGTTCACAAGCTTCCTCTCTCTTTCCCCATCTACCCATCCCAGTTCTTTAGTTGGTTTCCCGCAGCTCCTGTTCTTGTTCTCTGGCTTATTTTTCCCTCAATTTTCCAAGATTCTACAATCGTTTTCCTTTTTCCTTGCAATCAGTCTGAGTCACTTGGTGAGAATCCAGCTTTCTTGTGTACTTCAAGGGGGTGTTTTGTGAAAGTCTTGGGTGGCTGGCTAATTTAGAATTTGCAGGACAGAAACCAAAGCAGGAGGACATTAAAGAAGATGCCAGGCCCAAAACAAACAGCATCATGTTTATTTAAATTGTCCCTATTAATTAGATAGAGCACCAGGAGTTCTTCCCCAGTCGGCCGTAGTCAGCCCAAGCAGGGTCTCCGGAATTCAACTCACAAAGGGATTGCTCTCGTTGGGCAAGTTTTATAGCCCTACAAGCTCTCCCACACACATACAGAGTTGCTTAGTTTAGGCATCAGCAAGGAAAAGTTAGATATGAATGAGGATTAAGTGTCCAGCTCGGCACCTGCTGCAACAAAATAAGGAAATAATGATCTGTTTGGGGTTAGAGCAGAACGTTCTCTCACAACTTCCAAGAATAAATAGGAAGAGCTAGCTTGTTTAAGCAGCCTCTCTTCCAGATGTTAATTTAAAAATGCAGGTCAATCAGGGCAGGGTTGGGGACTTCCCTTATTGTCAATATTAAAGTTGGGTTCAGATGTCAGTCTTTTTGCAATTATATATTTTGCTGGGAGAGGACATTTCGCATTTGATCTCAAACAGCAAAATGTTGCTTCCACGTATATCCTTTTCTTGCATTAATGATAAAAATGCGAACCCATCATGTGGTTTCTTTGTTTCTTTCTTAGTGTTATGTGCAAACAAGGTCACCGTTGTTTCTGGCTAAGTGCAATGAGTGAACTCAGCCAATCTAGATTCAACCATATTTAGGCTAGACTCACCAGATGGTTGATCCAACAGTAAACTATCTGTGGTTTATTTCTCTTTTGCTTAGCACTACAGTATGTGTGAACACATCCATTACGGTTGAGTTTTATATGTAAGCCAGGTCAATATGGCTTGTTAAAAATCATTTTAAAAATATGGCTTAGTAAACACAGCCAACTCCAGCCTTCTCCAAATGGATATCTTGGTTTGAACCTCAGCCAAGGAAAATATGATGCCTACTGGCAATGTTGACATTTCATTTTGCAAACCACATTCACCAAGCTCCTTATTCTCCAGGAGAGACATAGCTGAGTTAGAGATCAGAATTTGAATCCCAAGAGCTTAGCCTCTCACCTTATGACAGCTCCCCTAGGTAGACCAGACCAGGAAGTCAACTCCATGGGAAGGCTAAAACTCTGTTTATTCAGATTGGCTATAATAAC